AGATGTGGCCTCACCAGGGCAAAGCAGAGGGAGAGAATAAGCTCCCTTGACCTGCTGGCCACACTCTTAATGCACCCCAGGATACCATTGGCCTTCTTGACCACAAGGGCACATTGCTTGTTCATGGTCAGCTTGTCTACCAGAACTCCCAGGTCCTTCTCCACAGAGCTGCTTTCCAGCAGGTTGACCCCCAGCCTGGTGCATGGGGTTGTCCCTCCCCAGGTGCAGGACCCTACACTTGCCCTTATCGAACCTCATTGGGTTCCTCTCCACCCAAATCAGCCTGTCCAGATCTCAGTGAATGGCAGCACAGCCTTCTGGTGTATCAGCCAGTTCCTCCCAGTTTTGTATTATCAGTAAACTTGCTGAGGGTGCGCTCTGTCCCTTCATCCAGGTCATTGATGAATGTACTGAATAAGCCTGGACCCAGTACTGATCCCTGGGGGACACCGCTAGTCATAGGCCTCCAACTGGACTGTGCGCCGCTGATCTGAGTCACTGTGGAAACTAAATTGAGAGTAGAGAATAATTCAGACTATCTGTTATCCAGGGCTCACATCCCATAGAGCTGTTCTTGGAGGAGAGCAGGGGTGGTGTCTAATGCTGGGCAGTGAACTTGAAGACACAATTATTTCTTTGCCAGGATGTGGAAGCAGGGTCTGATAGCTGTATGATAGTGAGTCTAATTTGCTCACTGAGGCTTACAGATGTTAGGGAGCTGTTATAGGTCATTAGCATAGGGGCAGCTTTGGTCACCAAAAAGGCTAATTCTAGCTTGGTGGATTATTGTTCAGCACAGAATATTTGATGTGAAAAGTGCTGATTGAGATGATGTAGCTGGTAGACTGATGTAGCTGAAACTTCAGGGTCTACTTACCTTGTAGATCTCTCCTTTTGTGCAAGCCAAATGTGGGGAGATAGACTGCAGTTGGCAAACCACAATCATCTGCAACTGACTTACCACTAAAAACATAGTGAACACTTCATGTGCTGGGCTTTCCTTTCCTCTGACTCTCTTTTTAAGGAGTTTGGACTGTAGCATGGAAATTCTTCACAGAATGAAAGTTTGACTGTAGCTACTGCTGTGTTGATATAGCAGTTTTCCCTGTGATGGAGCTGCAGACAGCTCCCTGTGTTTAATGCTCTCTTCTCAAGGGGCCTGTAGTCATATATCACACTACTGACACTGCATGGAAGGATTTGTGGCAGATAATCAATATACCCATTGTGATATGAGATCTGAGCACCTACTTTACCACCACAAATGCAAAGTGCTGAAATATTTCTGAAAGTGACTCAAGTACTTATGAAAACTAGATGTCCTTTCCTCTGGCAATACTCAATAGAGAGGTGTGCTTGATGTCCTCTTAAAATGACCTTCCAGCAAAGCTTTCCTGTATTCTTTCCTTGCCTCTTCCAGCAACATCAGCTACTATTAAAAATACTGTGTAAATGCATTTCTACATGGCAACTGGGGAGGAGATTGGCTCTTTTTAGGTCATTGTGGTAGGAACTGAGCTTGGCCTATGTTTTCAAAGGCTCTGTTCCTTCAGCTGGAGATGCTGATGAAACATGAGGACATCTGGCCCCGTTTGTGCAAGTGAAGTGTCCGCTTCTTGAAGCATAGGAAGGAGGCTGTATGAGAAGGCCTCTGATGAAGTATTCACCTGTGAGCTCATCACACCATTTAAAATGGCACTAAATGGAGTGTTGTGCTTACTAAAGCAACATCTGTGCTTTTAGAGGTATTACATCAGATCACCCGTGTAAGACTAATGTATGGCAAAACAAAACTGATTGCTGTCTATTTTAGAAGCTAAATATTAACACATTGCTCTTAGCTTTTCAGAAAGTTTAGTTTTTATTCTGAGCTTCCAGCTGAGCACTGTATGAATGCCGTGAATTTTTCCTGGTGATATATAGTGCAAACTTCACAGCACTGTGTTACAAGAAAACAATTGGACACTTCTGTATTCAAATTGAAGCTCATACACAGCACGCTTTGCTTTCTAAATCTTCCCAGCAAATGCCTCTGCAGGTTTGGTTGTACGTTAGACAGACTTAATAAAGATTTTATTTTTTTTTTTTTTTCCTATGAAGATGACTGACTTTAATCACCTCATCTGCTTTTTCTTTCCTTCAGTGATGGGGAGGGAAAGAAAAGAACATCAACCGTCTGCAGCAGTGAATCTCTAAATGCTGTGGGGGCCACGCTCACACCTCGCCGCATCTCCTGGCGGCGAAGAATATTCCTGCAGGTAGCTTCACCTATGAATAAATCTCCTTCCAAGATGCAGCATCCAGGTCTGTGTGTGCTTTTAAAGAAAATAAACAAGCAGTTGTTACTGAATAGTTGTTACTATAGTGAACTGCAACATGTGAAAACATGAAAGGGAGAATGGGGGTTAGCTTGATATAATATTCTTGCTAGAACCTCGCTAGGGATCAGTTGATCTCAGTTGGCTTTAGGCCTTTGTTGCTTTGAACAGAGGATTCTGTCATCAAAATCAAATGAATTCCAATCTGCTCTGACTGCGCTGGTAGCACAGAAATGAAGAACTGCCTCTTGCTGACGAGGATATCCTCTTTAACAGTTAGCAAATTTTTACCCTAGCCTGCTTACATAATAGCAGTGTTTGCAAAAATGGTAAATTTTCTGCCTTGTCCTTGTACTGCACGTAGCACCTGTTGAGTGTGTTGAGTCTTACAGCTTTAGGTCATTTGAGGTAGAAACCTCTGAAATATCGGAAATCCTGCTATGTTAATAAAGTCCCATTGGCAGGATTCACAGCCATAGGTAAATGACAGACTCTGTGTTTAGTGACCATAAAGTGCTATAGCAGTGCCTGTAGTGCAGTTTAGCAGATGGAAGAAGTTGGGTTTAGTATAGATGCTGTGGTAAATCACAGCAGTAAACACGCTCGGCTGTAAAGGAGACTTTATGGATAAATGCCTCTCTGTAACTCTAGAAGGAGCTAGCAGGTGAAAGGGTTGACGCACTGGGTGACCCTTTATTTAGCTTTATTTCATTTAAATTTAACTTTATTTAGTTTAAATAAAATACTTTATTTAAAAATAGTTCTCTGCTGTTGAACTGTGGTGACTCTGGCTTTGGAATCAGCACCTCACTACTGAATGTAGAAGACAGATTATTTTTTTTTTTAAATATTTTTCTTCTTCTGTGACTTAGATTTTTGCGACATGTTGAACAATCTGAGTTTTCTGTGATACCTTTCTGATTCTTTGCAGATTGTCATGATGGAAGTGAATTGTTACCGTTATCCCCTCTGGCTCCACCCCTGGAGGAGGACCCTCTTGTTCTAGTATTGCAAAATGAGGATGGTCCAGATAAAACTGGAGAGAGGAAAAACTCAGAAGAACTACAAAGTCTGTGGAGAAAAGCCATCCATCAACAAATTCTGTTACTTCGAATGGAAAAAGAAAACCAGAAGCTGGAAGGTTAGCTATTTAGAAAATATCCATAAAAACTATTACAAATTCTGCTGCTTGAAGCTGAAAACTGTACTGGTGTTGGGCACCTCAGCCAGAGATGTGGTTCTGCAACTTTTTGGTTAGCAGTGCTAGAAAAAAACCACCCAGTCCTGTCTCACAGTCTACCAGGTTCTCTGTCTACTTGCCAACTTTTAATAGAAGAAAGTGGTAACTTTGCCTTTTTTGGTGCATGTTAGAGAGAAGGTGGCTCCAGTCTGTGTTCTAGCTCACTAAGTCTAGGAATTCTAATGTGGAGTCAGGAGAGCAGATGCCACGTGAAGACTTAGGTATGATAAACCTTACCTTCTGTATTTCATTTCAGTCCTTTGCAGTGCATGGCGTTTCTGTCCATGCTTTCTGTCCTTCATTAACCACATCACAGTGGTAATGTATAAACATTTGAATCCGAATGTGGTTTTTCAGCAACTGGCTCTTGAGGCATGTCAGAAAGGTCTCTTTTTGGAAGATGAGCACTGTAAATGGAAAATTTAAGTACTGTTACTGAGGAATCTGAAGTTGGCCGTGCTGACTTCTCAGCTGCCTGAGGCTTCCAGCTAAGATATTTTATTATGACTGGTCAAGACTCACACAAATAAAACATGTGGTACACTGTCTGTCCTAGCATATGGAAGTTCTGCAGTATAATAGACTATAGTTTTCCGTGTAAGTTGAAAATCTCAAATGTCCTCTCTGCAATTGCTGCCCTCTTCTCCTGTATGGTGTATAACCTCATTATATGGTGGTCTGATTCTTCAAACAAAACATAATGGCCTTGTTATGGTCAGTTAACTCTTTTTCCTTCTTTAGTGGTGCTTACTGAGAAGACAGGGAGAGGGAAGAAAAACAGCAGGATAGAAGTCTTTCCATGTCCCTACAAGTGTACATCCTTGAATCTGTTTCCTATACAGGCAGCATATGTCTCTGTGCACTTTCTCTACAGTTTGTCTCACAGTTGACACACACTTCTGTGGAAACCCCTATGAACATAGGGGGCATCTACAGAGAAGTCTGTTTTAATTTCATCCAAAATCTTCATGTATTGTTTTAGCAAATGTTTAGTCTACTGTTGTGAGGTGGCGGGGGAGCTGGATGTCTGCTGTAGTGACTAATTTCATGTTATTCCCTCTAGTAGTATGAGCTGCTGAGGGGGACACTCTTTTTTTTTTTTTTTGTGCCCTCCATGTGTGGCTGGAGGTACTGAAAACTGAGACATCAGTCCAGTGCCTCAAAATGAAGTTACAAGTTATTTCCATTCAGTAATGGATATGTAGAAACGAAGTTCTGCCTGCCTGATCATTTGTGGTGAAAATAGGAGTGTCGGCAGTGGAGACTCCAAACTGGCACTCATCTGCCAGCCCACATTTTGGTTTGTGCTCCAAGGAGCATGTCTCCATTCTTGATGCAGGTTCATAAGCACTGCTAGTGAAACTGGTGCTCTGGATAGCTAGGATTCATCATCTGATTTTCAAAGGATGAAAAATAATGGCTATCTCTAGGCTTCCTTCCTGGGGGCAGCTGTAACATGGGCCATTTTACAGACAGGACGTATGCGGAACTGATTCGTTGCAAACAAGTGCTGGTTTAGACAGTGGTTGGCATCCTAGCCTACAATTAAATGCAGATCTCCGGAACGGGAAATGTAATAAGAGGAATGCAGCCATTTCTCTACTCGAAGCCAGGTTCCTAGCTGTGAATTTATTCAGCTGTATATGACTGGTTTAAGACTGGAATTGCTGTGGAATTGTTTTAGTGGGTGTTTTTTGTAAATGTTTTGTTGATTTTTATTTACAAAATATTAATAGAACCTCTTTTCCTATTCCTTTTGCTGTCGAGGAGACTTGAATACTGTTAGCTCTTTGTTTTACAGAAGGTAAGTTCTGTGAATTGCACAAACTTGCTTTTAGCTTCTCAGAAATAAAAAAAGCTACTTTGCCCAGTAGATCACCTAGAAATAAAAGAACTGCAGAAAGTACCAGACCACCTAGCAGTGATAAGGAAGAGTGTTAACAGGGATGGTTGCAAGCAACGAAGGGTGGCATAAGTAGGTAGGGCAAGTGTGATCAACAGGCGAGCTTGCTGACTCTCGCTAGGGTTAACTGCAGACCCGAAGTACCGTTCAGTGAATGATAACCTGTGCACTTAATCCTGGACTTTGTTGTAGCACAGAAATACATTACTGTTGTCTTGAATCTGTCACGTACTGCCTATGAGAGCGAGCGTGCTCAGGTGAAATCGTACAGCAATAGTGTAGCGTTTAAAATTGCCCCAACTGAACTGCAAATTCTTGTGGTGAGACCCCATTCCCATTTTTATGGAAGTGTACTGCACCTTGCATCATAAACTTCTACAAGGCCTTCTGTAGTCTTGAATAGATACGGTCTCAGAGGTGTAACATAGAGCTTTTGGAAATAATTTGTCACCTGCATTTTTGCTATTATCCTGTGGATTCATCCGATGTTGGCTGTATCCAAAGTGAGCTGATTAGGCAAAGGAACTGATTGTCCTGTTTTGCAGGTTGTATAAAAACGTGAGAGTTTGCTTTCATCTAGAGGTGATGGTGAGGAGGGGGGTACATCTGTAAGAGGAAGGAGTCTCCTGCAAGGAGCAAGTACTGCACACAGATCAAGGCAAATTCGGGATAAAATCAATTGCAGCTTTCAGAGGTCGTGTTTTGAAATGTACAGTTCAGTTCAATGATAATTAAACCTATCTCTGTTAATTAAGACACATTCAGGTCTTGATTCCAGTTTTTTACACCAGTCGTATAATTGGAGTGGTTTTCTGCATGCGTCTCGTGTATAATAAAATAACTACAGTTAACTTCTCAGTAATGGAAATGAAAGCTGCTCTGTGAAATTCCAGAGTAACAATGCAGCTTTATTTCAGAAATAGAGAGTCCTCTGGAATAAATATTTTGTGCCAGGTAGTCCTATGCAGCAAACCTTTTAAGTTTACAGCAACATGAGTTCAGTGCTTCAGCACAGATGTTCCTTTCTGGATATGGTTCATGTTGGTCTGTTCTATTTACTTCTAGTCAGCCTGATGATGCCAGGCAGCAGTGCCAAGAGCCTCTTAAGGGACATGTAAAAACTGGAACCAGTGTGACGGACTTCAATTTAGAAGACTTGCCTAGCTTGCTTGCCTAAATCTCTAATATAAACATTCATATGTTTGGGACTTTCCATAATAAAACAATTGTAATGTTCAATATAAACAAGAAAAAAATGATCAAAGCTGTTTTTGTAGTTGGAAGAAGCAGCAGATGCGCTGAAGTTGACTGTGTTGAGCAGGTTTTTCTTCTTGCCCCAAGCCTTGAAAAATGTTTTCATGCACTTCATGAATTACTAATGGTCATGGCCCAGTAACAGACGTTAAATTGTTACCTGCAGCATCTTATGACAAAAGACTGGCCCCATCTCTGCTATTAACGGATGTATTGTAGAAGGTGTATTTATCCATAGTCAGATTATCAGAGAGATATATCTAACTTGAATGGGTTTTGTGTATTTGATGTCTCTTGTAATTTTCTGATGTTCTGGTTTTCTGTGTGCTCTTCCTTTGTCTTCTGTGCTCTAGCAAGCAGAGATGAGCTCCAATCAAGAAAAGTAAAACTGGACTATGATGAAGTTGGTACATGTCAGAAAGATGTCATAAATGTTTGGGATAAGAAATTGCTTAACTGCAGAGCCAAAATCCGATGTGACGTGGAAGATATTCATTCCACTTTGAAAGAAGGTATTTATGTAGGATGGCTTTTAACTATGAAGTCTGAAGATTATTTTTTTTTGGTTCCCTTTTGATACCAAAGGAAATCTGCCAGCAATACACTTTCTCCAGTAGCACAAAGTCATGAAAAAATTGCCTTTGTTTTGCAAATGCACCAGCCTCCTGCTGCCAAACAGAGAATATGTTCTGCTGTGTCTGCAGCTTACAATGTCAGCAGTGCAGAAACATGTAGAGTCATACTCCTGAAAGTAGCATCTTGTGCCCATGTATTATTACATCAAAGATTGAACTTGGAGCTTCTGCAGCTGACACTGTGACCTTTTGGTTTCTTGTCTCTGACTTCTATCCAATTGAGCCTGAGTTTCAGATGCTCTGATTTTACTTACTGACTGAGAAGGCAGGACCCTAATGTCTAACGTGGACTGTGCCTAAAACCTAGGGGAGTCACAACCAAGCTTTAAAGAGTTAGAACAACCACATCTTGTAGAGTATGGAATATGGTCTTCTAGTATTTTGTTTCCTTGAGTGAAAGGCTGGGGATTTTGGCTTGAAGTAGATCTTCCTGTGGCCTAGCCATAGGCCAGAAGGGAAGCCAGAGGGCCTTGTTAATATAATGCTGATGTAGAGTCTGGCTGCACCACTGTGCCCTCCTCCATAGGATCTCGTGTCTGTGTTACGGATGCTGGAAAAATAGTGTTTCAGTGTAATCTGGCTGTGGTACAGAAGGGAAGCTACCAAAGGAAATTGTGGTAGAAAGAAGGCGATACCTGTTAGTGACCTGCAGAAGAAGACTGCCAACAAATTACTTACTTTGCTGCCCTGTCTTTTGCTTCTGGACTGCAGTTCAGAGTTGGGAATAAGGATGTGTTTTTTCTAACTTGTAGTCTTGTTAAATAATTATTTGTCTGGAAAGTATTAGCTGAGTTGACAGGTCGGTTTACAGAGTCAGATATTGAAGGGGGTTGTATATGAAGTCCGAAAGTAATATTTTCATTTAGTTTACACTTTCATAGGTGCTTGACTGACTTCAGAGAAATGCTATCTTTCAATATGAGTGGTTCTGTGTCCTTCTTTTGGCATGCAGCATTAATGCTTTTAGGTTTGAACTGAGCATTTTATAATCTGTACTTGTTTTCTAAGCTTATGCACTGACATGAGCAGCGTTTTGGTAAGAGGAGGTGGACTTCCCTGTATTTTACACCTCTCAATTTAGTTCAGCCTTTCTAAACAGGCCGGATTGCATTCTGTGTGTAGTTGTGCGTCTTTTCCTGCTGGATGCTAACAGCTCAGAAGTAGCAAAAGAAGTGATGTCTGTACCTCAGTTGCCCAATGTACTGCTCAGTGTAATTACCGTAAGTTTGTAGTTAATGTTTAGTTAGTGGGATTGAACTGTGGCTACTGAGTGAATACACTGCAGAGTGGACAACTTCTAAAGCTGACTGTTTGTAAGGGATCCTCCAGAGTGGTTTGGCCAAGATTATGACAAAGCAAATTCTTGTGTTATAGCACTAAAAATATGCCTCTGCTTAGGCCTCTTGTTTTTTTGACTGACCTGCAGGTGTACCAAAAAGCCGTCGGGGAGAAATTTGGCAGTTTTTGGCTGTGCAACATCGAGTCAGACACAGACTACCCAACAAGCAGCAGCCTCCTGACGTCTCTTATAAAGAACTGCTGAAACAACTGACTGCTCAACAGCACGCCATCCTTGTAGATCTAGGTATGTCTGTTTGTAGCTGGGAGATTTTTTCTGTCTTGTTTCGTGGGTCTTCGAGTGAAAACACACCAGTCTTAATGGAAGCTGTTGCTGGAGATATAGATGCTGCTGTATCAGCACCACTTTCTATGTTGTCAGATTACGTTCTGTGTATGCCACTTAGTGTCCTCTAAACAGATGATTTCTTAGGTTGTGCTGTTTGTATTTATGTTCTTCTACATCTGTCTGAAAAGAGAAATCAAGCAGTCGCTTCCGCCAAATTCTATGCAGATAAGAATAATAAATAAGCTCAATGGATACAGTCTAAACTCAGTGGTAAAATACAGATTGATCTGACTAAAGTCAACCTGCATATGAAAGCGAAGAGAAATGGTCTATGGGAAGAGAGAACTGCTGGTTGTCAGATGGATCTGTTTTTTTCTTGAGAAGAATTTAATATCAAGTACTCTTCTCTCTTTATGTCAGGACGGACATTCCCTACGCATCCTTACTTTTCTGCCCACCTGGGAGCAGGACAGTTATCACTCTTTAATCTCCTGAAAGCATATTCTTTGCTGGACAAAGAAGTGGGTTATTGTCAAGGTATAAGCTTTGTAGCTGGGGTGCTGCTTCTGCATATGAGTGAAGAACAGGCCTTTGAAATGCTGAAATTCCTCATGTATGACCTTGGCTTCCGTAAACAGTACAGGCCAGACATGATGTCGCTACAGGTAAGTCAGTCCTTCTCCTAAAGCAAACTAGAGTTTTAAAAACTAGTTTTGAGTTCTTAGAGGCCGCTGGTGTTCTTCAGGGCCTTATGATGCTTCTTATGGTGTTTTGGAGGTTGTGAGGAGCATGCAAATGTTATTGTCTAACCCCTCTCCGCCTCTCAGTTTGCAAACAGAGAAGTTCAGAACTTGCAGACTTTTCCTGTCACACGTCCACATCATCTCCTGTTTGGAAACTCTGCTTTCTCTGCTATTTTGCTCTTCCTTTTCTTTTCCTCACTTCTCTCTCTTCTTTATGCCAAAAAGACTCCGTATGCTTGCATCTGTATAGATGGAGTTTAAAAATAAATTTGATTTTATTTTTCTTCAGTCCATGAGCACTTAGATGTAGATTTTTCTGCGGTGACTCCAAGTCAAATCAATAGTGCCACCCAGCGGCCAGTGAATGTGCTCCACAGGCATTTGTACTTGGGGCTGCTCTGTCTTTACTCATTTGTACCTCGTTTCTCTCATTGTCCTCTATCCACCACCCTCAACACAGAGACAAAACAGAGAAATTTTTAATCATTTCGTTTACTTATGAAACGATGCATGTTCTGCAGTATTCCTCTTTTAACAGCTAACTATAGATACTCAAGGCTGTTTAGGAAGGAGACAGAAAATCTTTCAAATCTGTACAAACTTCAGGATTTAAAGTTTGAGAAATCTTTCACCTTGAGATGCAACTGTCCGCTGACTTAAATAACTATATGCTATTACACCCTAATATTGTAAAGGGATATGCCACTGCTGAGTTAAAGCTTGTAATACACAGCAGAGAAAAAGAAAGCTAAGAGGCAGATACAAAAGCCTCATTTTTTAATTTTTTTTTTCATGCTCCCTGCATAGCAAACACATAATTAAAAACTTACAGAGGAATTTCAGTCCATTTTTCATGACCGGTCACTTTAGGTGCTTGTTTGGCAAACGTCCAGAACAATAGACTAGATCATAGTTAAAGAAATTGTATGTGCATTTTAGTAATGAATAGCAACATTTAACCACTAAAAATGATAGAGGAGTGTTTTAGTGTGGATCTAAGTATGCTATAACATGTTTGCTGTGGTGAATTAAGGGTGAACAGCCATAAAGAGCATCATTCTGCCTCTTTCTTGTCCCATTCTCCACTTCCACCCCTCTGCCCCCCCAAAACATGTTTTGAAGTAGTGGAGGTCAAAGTGTGATAGATGCATGGTTGTGGAATTTTTTTGCTCTAGAAAATGCTCCCTTAGTGTTTGTATGTTACACTGCAGTTGTAGACTTTCAATAACATCTGATGATTTGAGAGCATTCAGATATCCAGGATTTCACCTTTTGATTTAAATGAGTCTGAAACTTTCATTGTTCTGACAGTGAGTTCTAAGGAAGAACACTTTTTAAGTTTGTGAAGGTTTACCGCTTGTAGTACTGTTTGCTCTTTAAATGAGATGATGGCTCTTTCCCCACGGTTTGCTTCTAGGCAGTTGTCCTGTTCCAGACTAAAGTACAAGTTTTTTTCTGGTCACTATTGAAGATGACTTGGAGGATCTCACTAAAGCCTAACTCTTTGTTTTGGTTTTTAACAGGAGTAGAGCACTTGCAAATTCTTTTGCAATTTACAGTACTGAAACAGAAGTAAGCTTATATGCACATTTAGCTTCTGTCCTGTAGAAGAAAAATGCTGGATGTTTCTTTAGCAAAATGAAAACTTACTTGACTAATATTTTTCATTGTTGTCTGGAAAAAGTAGTAGTCTAGATTCTTAGTTCATAATGAACTCATCCAATTGGTTTACTGACTCTGTGGTACTGTTCTAATTTCACATATAAATTCATTTTGTATTGACTCTGTCCAAACTGTGCTAAATTAGTATCTTCGACAATTAAACAATAACTCAAATGGATGCACGAATATAGCTAACTTGCCTGAATGAGAAGTAATCTGTCTGCTTGTGGACACTGCTTACTGGTAGTTTGAAGTGTAGTTGGTTTTTGGTAGGGAAGAATCATGACCCGCTAAAAGTAAGAAAGTAGCTGGATCCTAGAAGTCATTTTCTGGTTGAGGAATGGATTCACCTTAAGCATAAGGCACTGTTGACAGCAAAATTGAACCTGATAGCTAATCAATATATGTCTGCTTCTCGTCTGCTTTCTGAGAGAAGTAACTCTCTGTGCTGTGAGCAACTTACTGAAGAATTTAAACTATCAAAATTGCAAAGAAAAAATTTGCCAGAGTGCTATTTTTAGTAATGAATAGCAACTTTTAACCACTTTGCTTTGCAACCTTTTACAGGTTGTATAGCAGCACTTTTTGCATCAGTATCTTAAATTTCTCTGGATCACTGGCATGTGGGAGGTGCGCTGGGAAATATCTATGTGGTACACCTCTATTGACCCACTGTATCTGATGTATACTGTGGGTGCAAAAGCTGTCTAAAGTGATGATTGTAGCATAGGAGCTTTAAGTGCCACAAAAGTATGGCCAAGATTCAAAGGATGAAAGCTGAAACATGTAAATTTAGCCAGAAATACGCTTCTCAGAAATAGTAACTCCTCTGTAAAGTAACTCCTCTGTAAAGGAGTTTTGGCAGCTCGGAAGACGTAGTTCTACTTTAATTGCTGTAAGACTGAAAGATCTGGTTTGTTGATAGTTAGATCTATATGTTCCTTTTCCTTAAGTCTGTGAATCTGAAATCATCCTTCATTAATAATGCGGTTCAGACTGTTCTTTGTAATTGACTACTGTGTTGGTTTAAATTCATTAGGGGTGGCTTGTTTATATGTGAGTAGGTGTCACTGAGGGCTCAAGGCAACAATTAAGCTTCATTTTACAGTGCCATCTGTATTTGAGTTAATTTCCCTCAAGTGAAATGTGAGTAAAGCTGAACTTTTCTTTCTCTACTTCCTTCCCACCCAACCCCCTCATGCACTGTAGATTCAGATGTATCAGCTCTCAAGGCTTCTTCATGATTATCACAGAGACTTATATAATCATCTTGAAGACAATGAAATCAGTCCCAGTCTTTACGCTGCACCGTGGTTTCTTACACTGTTCGCATCTCAATTTCCATTAGGATTTGTAGCCAGAATATTTGGTAAGAAAGTTTATTCTATTGCAATAATAAACAGAACAATGTTGTCCATTGTGTTTTGAAACTCTCAGGGAGTAGTTTTCTACATACTAGGGACGTTTGGGATGACTATTGTGGGTGGCAAGTAGCAATGGTCTTCATGGTGGGATGTCAGCTCCTTTTCAAAAAGGAAAACCAAAACGTATTCTTTGAAACATCAGACTTGAGCAATTAAGTATGTCTGCTGTTACTAGCCAAGAGAAGTCTGAAGTGTGAACTGCAGGATGTTTATTGTTGCAAATGTATTTTATGCATCAAGCATTCAGTTTATGTCTGTAGAAAAGTTAATCTTGTTGAACTTGCAGATTGAAAAAAGAGAATGCATTGGCTTTCCAGAAAGTGTTTCTGAATATCTGATTCTAAAGTGCTTTCTAATAAAAATTCAAGTAAATTTAATCTTAAAGGCTGTTTAAGGTATTCATGTGTATATTGAATGTTTTCCTAGTCTTAGTATGCCTCTCATTCCATTTAGATAGTTCATTATATGCTCCTCTTCAGATAATGTCTAGTATAGAAGTTTAAATATTGATTGTGCCTTGTGGTGTTTACAGTGTCAGCATGTCAGGTACTTGGTTTGGTATTCTTTTATTGTCAATAAGAACTGCCAGCTTAATCAAATCTCTAGTAATGCAGCTTTAAAAAAAAAATCATTTATTTATTAATGTAAAACTCACTATACTCAGATATGCACCAAGAAGCTAGGAGCGTATCTCATGTACTTCCTTTTAAATCAGTCTTCTTTTTCCATTTGTTTTTTCTGTTTTCATACAGTACCTTTTGTCGTTTCTTAAGAAATTCAAACTGACTTTTGTCTCATGTTTTATTACTCAAGTGTGTTAGGTTTTTCATTTGTTTGTTGTGGTCGTTTGCAGGGGGGAAGAGGGGTTTGGTTGGTTGGATTTGATTTTCATATTTTTTGACCTAGTTATTTCTCCACTACAGAGTGTTTTGTTTTGTTTTGTTTTGTTTGTTTTTTTTTCCTTCTACAGTAAACTTTTTCTCACTGCTCTTTGAGTGAACAAATGATTGATGTATCTGTTTTTCAGTGGTATTCACGTGATTGGCACATCTCTTTCCCAGTGGGATTATTGAATTCTGGGACACTCAAGCATTTGGGTTTTTTTTCTTTTTGATTTGTTTTTCAAGGCTAAACAGTTCTGTTCTGGGTTGTTTTTTTTTTGTTTTGTTTTTTTGTCTTCAGTAGGCTTTGAATTTGGAAAAAGAATTTTTTAAGCATGGGGAGGATCACTGTTCATTTCTCTGTAAATGATCTGAACAAGGCATGTTCCCATTTTAAAATACAAAAGTCACTATGTTGTTTTACTTCCTAATGCTTTGGATTCCAGCATCTTCAGTGTCTTATAGGTCATTGACACATACCAGGAACAGATGGTTAATGTCTACCTGCCAAAAATTATATGCTTATATTTATGCTGCTTGAATGTGCATCATAGATTTGAGTAGGGAGACTTTTAGGGATTGTATGAGTAAGATGGCTGCCTCACCAGCGTCCTGGTGCTACCCTGTGGTACTGGATTAGGGTTGGGGATGACCTTTCAGTATCAGGATCAGAAATAGAGATTGTTCAGTTGCGTAGCCTTGTTCTTGGTGGGGTGACAGAGCCAACAGCACAGGAGGCTTATTTGAGCCGCTCATATGCTGCGTTCGTCTCGGTAACTGCCAGTCCACCGCTGCTACTGAGATCAAGATTCTAGTTACTGTGATCAAGTTTCCAGTTTCTGTGCAGTCTGTGTCTACTGACTTCCGAGGAGCCGAGACTTTCCCCTCACATCCACAATTATACATCAAAGTAAGGGTGCGGGGCTTCAATTATAACTAATGTGATCATTACTATGGATTTTGAAAATAATATGATTGGTTATGGAATCTACATGATTGTTTTTTAAGGACTAGCTTCTGCCTATAGAAAACAGTAAAACGTCAGTACGTTGTCTTGTGATCTGCTTCCAAATTGCTTTTCAGTCACAGATGCGCTTAAAAAAAGGTAGCAGTTATTTAACAGTCTGTAGTAGACAGTAATGTAATGCTTATTGCAGATAACTGCTACAGACATAACAAGCATGCAATGTTTTCTTTAATGCTTGCTCGCATCTGTAAGATGACAGCAAATGCTTTTATATGCTTTAACCTCATGTTGAAATAAGGCAGGTTGCACTTCTGAACTGAATAAATCTGTAGTATAACTGATTACAAAGAAAAACATCCCAGGAAATGTATATATATTTATCCAATTACTTTAACTGTCATTTTCAAGGGATTTTAATGATTTTTCTTTTTAGACATTATTTTTCTTCAAGGAACAGAAGTCATATTTAAAGTAGCACTGAGCCTACTTAGCAGTCAAGAAACATCTATAATGGGATGTGAGAGTTTTGAGAACATTGTTGATTTTCTTAAAACCACTATTCCAGATATGACTCAGCCTCAAATGGAAAAAATTATTACTCAGGTAAGGTTGTTTTTCTCTTTACTTTTTCCTCCTCATTTATTTTGCTTTAAAAGAATCATGCCTAAGGTATATGTGAAAGTCTTCTCAATATGTTCCTTTTGGTTTGAAATGCACAGAAGTCACCTTCACAGTAACTTGTATAGAAATAGAATATAAGCTAATTTCAATGGGCTTTGAATGGCCATTTTAGCAATATTTTAGTTGCTACATCAGGGTTTAGCGCAGAGGTTCTTATGTGCCTCAGCTTTGGGAAAACATGACTTTGTTTATAAATTTCATGTCACCATTAGAAGGGTAAAAGTAGCCTGTTTTCCAAACCTAAACCCAGCTATTACTCCCTGCTTGTGGGTGAGCAGTCCAACAGTTTGTGATGGGAAGCGTAACTTGCCATGGTGGGAAGAGGCAGCACCAGAGCAACTTCTCCTCCTGATCCTTCAAACTTCTGGCTGCACAGGGTCAGGTACTGCCATAGGAACTTTTCCAACACCTTCAACTTAAATTCCTGCAAGTTAGGAGGTTGGTGAGGCCCTGTTTTTATGATCTGTGTTAAAATCAAGGTTAAACTAACTTTTGCTGTTCTGTTGTGGGGGCAGCTTCTGTCCTGGGGATTGCTTTTAGCGTGCCCTCGTGCAACTTCCCTTTCTCACCTCAGCTATGTCCTTGGAGGGATCGCATTTGGCAGGTGCTTGGTGCCAGAGGTAAAAGCCCCTTAGGACTGCTCCCTGCCTTTCTCAGATGAGGGAAGGGAGGACTGGAGTAGTATTATTTCATCAGCATCGTTGCAACTTCATGGCAAAGGGCAAGACTAGAAGAGAAACAAAGAATCGCTAATAGTGATACAGTAAAAGCTTCTTGTGAAATACTGTCAGTGGCTGGGATCTTCATCTCTCTACATCATCTTCCTCTGCAGTGAAGCTGCAAATTGAAAATGAGCCTCAGTCTAGTACCTTAACTGTGAACCTTTGAGCAGTTTTCCCCCTTCAGGTGGCAATTCGGAGATAGCAGAAGAGCTCTACAAAACCATCTCCATATGCAGGAGTGCAGTTAACACTGATGCATTCCTGTGGTACCTGAATGTTTCAGGTGCTGTCAGCTAAGAATTCATTTTTAGATGACATGGAAGTCTTCATTTCCTCGTTGCACTGATTGTGATTGCTATGCTAAACCTGTGTCAGGCACTTCAGAGTCTGTCTTCACAACTCACTGATTTTGGCAATGATAGAGATGGTAGTTCGATATTTTTGATACTACTAGAAATTAATCTCTGTCCTGTAGTCTGCATGGGTTGTGGAGCAATCATGCTGTGGTGAGCATGGTAGAATTTGTCTGATTGAGTAAAGAATGGGTTATGTTGCCTGAGTGGGAGTGGATGTGGTTATATGCAGGTCAGCTTAGTTTCGAGAGGAATGTTGCCTGCTCGCCTGTGGTTGGTCTCATGCTGAGCAGCCTTCTGGATCTGTATTTATGTGTTGACTGCCTATACTGTATTGCTCCTACCTAGGCTGGCTGCAGGTGGAATTGTTTAGCGCTCTCTGATTCCTAGGACTGTCCTCTTATAGTGGATAAGGAAAGAACGTAGACATTATGCAGGACTATAATGCACAGATGAAGAATTGACCGAGTAGCTACATAGAGGAAAATGGCACTTGCCCAGCTTGAATGCCACATGTAATAATAAAATTTTACCTCATTTCAATTACCTGAAGAAAAGTGAGTGTAACGCAGAACTTGTTTTGTTGGTAGATCTGTGTGTGTCTTCTGCTGGTGTAATGTCTGTGATTTCTAGAACAAGGAACAGAATTAATGTCACTGTAGACATCCTTCCCTTCCTAGTCTAAACTATTCGGTAACTTTCAGAAGCTGAGAAGTTGTGATTAGATGTATAAACAGATAAGGGTCATGTTGTCCCATCACTGTTAGACAAAGCTTTGTCACCAAAGCATCCCAATAAGAAAATAGTGTATCTTCATGCAGAGACAGGGAAACTAACCGTGAAGAGTGTTTTTATAAAAGTCTATAAATGGGAAGTTGGAGTCAAAAGATACAGTTTTCAGGCTGGAGATCTGGTGACTCCTGGATTACTCTTCCTCATTGTGTGATCCTGCTCCCATCACAACCTGGTGAGACATGAATTTAAAAATTTCTTCTTGAACTTCTTAATATTCGTGAGCAAGAGATGGTAAGACTTGGTCATATTATAAAATTCTTGGATTAAATATGACTATTCTGCTGATACATGTCATAGTAAAAGATGGTATTTGGTAATTGTAAAAGTGACAATCCAATCTATTCTGAAGTCTGTGATTTATTATGGCTACAGTAAGAACTCTAGGTGCTAAAATGCTCTTACTGTAGACTTCCCCTTAAATTTTTTTTTTTGAGAGGAACAGGAAAAAACGTTAAGTTAATCAAGCAGAGTTGCCACTTAGCCAAACATTCACGTGGAATAAGTGCTCTTAGTTGTGGTTAAAAAATTGGTTTTTCTCCCATGGCAGGTGTTCGAGATGGATATTTCAAAACAGCTCCATGCCTACGAAGTAGAGTACCACGTTCTTCAGGATGAACTGCAGGAAAATGTGAATCCCTGTGAGGAAGGTGAACCCCTGGAGAAGCTGGAGAGGGCAAATGGTCATCTGAAGAGACAAAACATGGATTTGTTGGAGAAGCTACAGGTAAATGACCTTAAGACTACAGACTCTTGGAGAGGTCACTTCTGTGATTCAGCCAATAGAGGAATAAGTGTCTTTTTTTAAATATACACAAGAAGTCTTCTAACGGCAAGACCTTATGCAGTTGAGCAGTTCTCTCAATTACAGTGACTTACTTCTGTTAGACATATTTTTAACTCCTTTGTCATTTCTTGGACTCTTCGTTCTTGATTTGGATTTCTTTTTCTCCCAAATATCTCTACTCTTATCTCCCATAAAAATATGCTGGCAAAATTTGTGTATCTTGCTGAAAAATAAGTTCTCTGTCCCTTCATCTCTTTCTTTCCCTGTTGGAAAGTTTAAAGAAATAATCCATGCGGCAGTAGGCTTGCTTTCTCCAGACGTTTGTAGGCAATATCATTCTGTTTCCTTTTGCTGAAGCTTGTAGTCCTACTTGTGAAAGGTGGTCTCTTCTAGCAGACTTGAATACAGCTGAGTGCCTGCCAGAGTTTGCCAGATAAAGTAGTGCTTTAAAAAAGTCTTCTCTTCCTCCTTTACTATTCACCCTTTCTCCCGTAGCCTGGCCAAGACTTTTTTCAGGTTTCAATATGTATTGTCTTGCATGTACCTGAAAGACAAGCTCTTCTTTTTGCACCAGGCCATTTCTTCTTGTATTTGCTAATTTGAACAGATATTGGGAAGAGCTCAGAGAGCACTTTCAGCTTCTGAAACCTGAAAATAGAAGCAGGGAAAAAAGGAAAGATCAAGTCCTCATTATTTATGGGCTACGGGTGCTGTGCTGTGTTCTTTTGATATTGAAAACAAGGATCACTTGCTTTTTATTTTGCTATTATTATTTTTGCCTTATTATTTCTATGTATTCATTTATTGCTACCTGGGCTTTCACCTCTGTTCTGAAAATATATGAAGGGCGTAGAATAATTATGAGTGACTGATTTGAAAGGCTCTATTGAAGGTCTTCTGTTCTTCCAGAGTGCCATACTGTAATGCATCTTCCTCAGTTCCTTAACCTCTTAATCTTCCTGGTTTTATAGCTTCTTCATTCCTCTGCTTGGGCTCTTTCCTAGGAACAATCAGAATTTCCCCCGCTTCCCACAGAGAGACAATTGCTACTGCTGAGATCCAGGGTTTCTGATTACTAGCAAGTGTGGAGTTTGTTTTGTTTTGTTTTTCCCAGAGGAAGCTGGAGGTCTTTTACTGGACAATAGGGAACACTCTCTGCTTCTGGACTTAATGTTGAGGTTTTCTCCAATCTCTCCATCCTGGTACTTTATCACATAGGGTTCCAATTGCTCTATTGCTGCCAGACAGCTCATCTCTTCTAGTGCTACTGCAGCTGATTTCCTTTTTCTCCCTGCAGCTCCAGTTACTTGTTACTCTAAACTGTCCCTTGCTTGCTGCAACTTGCATGTCTTCTTCCCTCTGTAAAGCTTTCAGAAATCCTTCAGATTGATCTGGTCACAATAAGGAGATTCTGTGTATGATACATGGTAGGCATTCCTTATATCGTCAGCTTATGCAGATGTCTTTTAGAGACATCTATGTAATTAAGTTCTTTCCTTAACATATAGTATATCATATTATAAAAATGTTATTCGGAACATCTCAATTTATTATAAAGATAATGTTATTGTTTACAGGTTGCTCATGCTAAAATTCAGAGTCTGGAATCCAGCCTGGAGACTATTTTGACCCGAGAGAGCAAAATGAAGACTGTAATTCAGTCCCTGGAACAGGAGAAGATAACCTATCAAAAGACTCTTGAGCAGATAGTGAAGTATTTGCCAGCAGAAGCGTTGTCTGACTGTGAACTGCTCCTGAAGGAAGTAAACTACAATCCAAACAATAAAATAAAATAAGGAGTAAGCCATAAACCAGGGATTTTCAGGCAGCATTTCTTCAAAAAAAGGGAAAGAAAAGATGAGTATGCTGCTTTTAAAGGACTTAGTAATAGGCATCGGTATTATCCAAAACTAGTGCTGGGACACTCATAGCTACAGATGGGCCTTCAAATGTCAGTATGCAAATTCAGGCTATTAATTTTTTTTATCGTTATGTAAATAGATCAGAAGGGGGAAATAAAGGATTCTCACATGTAATTATGATGAGTAGATGTATATTTAGAGTTGACCTAAAGGAAAAGAGAAATTTCGGTAGTCAAAGCCAAGATAATGGTGATCTACAAATTCACTCTGGATGTGCTTGTCTTGTAGTGAAATGAGGATAGCGTGTCTTATATATATGTATGTTGAATAATACTTGAAGAAAAAAAAGAAGAATGTAATTTTCCCTCCAAAGAGCAGCATGTTTCACATCTTCTGTGGAAAACCTGTGTGAACTCATGCGTGCCTCTCTTTTAATTCTACTGACATTGTGTGCACAGACCAATACGCAGAACAAGCGTCATGACTTGGTTCATACAGAAAGAGCTCTAGTGCCATCCGCTGCCTGCTGCCTGGGCTGTACCAGTCAGCAATGTATTTCCACACGCATGTTGGAACTGGAAACAAAAAGCATCATGTCATAGCTCCGCCTCTGTAACTCAGAGCTAAGAAATAGGTATCTACACATACTCGCAGAATTTGTAAAGGCAAGAGCTAACAGCGACTGCTACTTCCTTCCTGGCCTGTTTGCTTCCACCCATCCTGGGTTTGCTTATGATGACAGGAGGAAGGCAGCAAGGCTGTGGAATGGTATTTATTCTGATGTTAATTTTCCACAGGAGACTTGCTGTCATAAGAGTTAGATGTGTAAGGGGTTCTCATTTAACCAAAGAAATAACTGCAAGAAGCCTTGTCTTATTGTAGTGGGAACCAGAAAGCTGTTCTGAATTAAGAGAAAATTGAGGCAGATGAGAGGAATTTGAGCATAAGTGCATGGGAGAGGACAAAGCAAGTTTCAAATACTATCTAACTTTCAGTTTTCGTGTAGACAGTGGATATACATTTCAAAGGGGATTCTGAAGTACAGGTGCAGTTTTAATAATACTTTCCAGGTTATTGCTGTTTTAATACTGCTTCATGGTCTTCTTTTTAAAATAAAAGTCATGAATTTGTGTGTTCTGGGTAGAAGGTGAGGTAAGCTCTGATCATTTCAAGGGAGAAAATATGTTTATAAAGGTATAAGAAGATGCATATAGATTTGAAAATGTTTTTGAGTGGAATTTTTGAGAAGGCTTAGGCAAATGTGTAATAGACACGTATTTTGGAGTGCATGTCTGAACTGTTAATCAAGTGTTACAGTGGCTCATATTATCTCTTTCCGTTTATACTGTATTTCAGGAAACATATTCTTTTTAGTAAGAAAAACAGTTAAGCAAGTGCCAAATCCAGCAGTGTCTTTATGCATAAGATTGTCCAATTTAGAAAGCAAGGACTGAATATCACTGCTTTCTAAGTATTACGCTTTATGTTAACATAAAAGTGAGGAACAACAATGCTGATTTGCTGCACGCTGCTGTGAAACTGAGGGGCTTGTGGTCTCCTGG